TTATAATTAGATGCCCAGGCAAATACATGTTTTCTAATTTGATTTATTAGGAATAACTTTAAATGTTTTTATTTCAATTCTAAATGATGGAGTCTTTCTCTAAACTAAATAGTTAATGATTATGAGTCAAATAAACTTCATAGAGTCATTTCACAGATTTCGAGGACATGTAATACTCTTAAAGTCATATAAAGTAACCAGGGAATGTTGCTTACCTATTCATTAGTTGATGGGTGTTTGGATTATTTCCACTATTGGCTTATAATTCACTATTATGAATAATGCTTCTATGAACATTCATATACACATTTCTGCATGAAAATATGTTTCCATTTCTCTTGGATATATGCCTAGGAGTGTGACTATTGGATTATACAGTAATTCTTTGTTTAACCATTTGAGGAACTACCAGACTATTTTTCAAAGCAGCCACGCCATTTTATTAATATGTTCTCACAAGCAGTATATGAGGGTCTCAGGTAGCGAAATTTTCAAGGTGAATTTCCACTGCAGGAAATATTTTCTCAAGTGTAATTCCATGTGGAATTCTATTAAGATCCAATACAATGTTTGGATTTGGATTTGTAGAGTCATTGTTTAATTAAGAAACAAAACTGTGACCATTGATTGAAAGTTACAGTTCAGCAATTTGTTTCAGTGGAGGATAACTTCCTAACAATAAAGCTGTTGAGTGACAAACTTTGTGGACCATGAGTTCTTTACAAAAATTATTCAAGGCATTTGAGAGAAATACTTTGGCAGAGGTTCCTCTATTGCGCTGGTTCCCAAACTTTTGTATACATCAGAATCACCAGCTATTCCAGGGACTACACTTTGTGAATCAGTTCTGTTTTGAGTTAGATGTTGGGATTACCAACCTCTAAAGCAGTTGTTCTTAACCTTGACTGCACGCGAGACTCACTGGAAAGGTCTAAAGGTTTCCAGTGCCCAAACTGTATCCCAACCAATTAAATCAGTATATCTGGATGTGGGACCCAATGGCATTTTAAAAAGCACTGAAGATAGTTTTATTGGTTGCCAAAGTGTTGTCTCTCCAACTCTATTTCTATGGTTCTAAATAGCAAAAAAATTAGTGTTACCACTTATTGTCATTAAGACAGAATTTTCTTTGTATTACATAAAATCTATCGCCATCTCATGAAAAACAAAGAAAGACTTGGCAACTATCATAGACCCTAGGAGACTAAAGAGACATAATGATTATGCAGAAGAAAAGACAACAATGGAAAAACCAGTGAAATATGAATAAAGTCTGTAGTTTAGTTCATAGTATGGTACAAACATTAATTCCTTAGTTTTGACAAATGTATTATGATTATGGAAGATATTAGCCTTAAAGGAAGTTGCATGAAGGTTATACAGGGACTCTCCATACTACCTCTGAAATTTTTCTGAATATTTAAAATTACTCCGAAATAAAAGTTTATTTTTTTAAAAAAATTATAATCCTCAAAACCTACATGAGGTGAAAAATCCATCATAGAGTTTGTTGTCTCACATTCTAAACCTAGCATTTGGGTTTTGTTCACAATTATAAAAATTAAATCTTTCATGAAGTCATTGTCATTAATCTCATTATAAATACAATTAGGAAATGGTACTTTTATTAGTCTGCTTGGGCTTCCATAACAAAATACTGCAGACAGAGTAGCTTAAATGACAGAAATGTATTTTCTCACAGTTCTGGAGGCTGAAAGTCCAAGATCAATGCTGTCAGGATTGGTTTCTGGTGAGGCCTCTTCTTGGCTTACAAATGGCTGCCTTCTTGCTGTGTCCTCATGTGGCTTTTTCTCTGTGCATGAAAGGAAAGAGATCTCTGGTATCTCTTCCTCTTGTTATGGGGATACCAGTTCTATCAGATTAGGGCCTTACCCTCATAACTTCACTTAACCTTTATTTCCTCTTTATAGATCCCATTTCCAAATACAATCACATTGAGGGCTAGGGCTTCAGTATATGAATTTTGAAGAGACACAATTCAGTCCATAACAGTACTATTTGCAAATTATTTCCCTCTCCTGTTTTTGGATTTTGCAAATTGCTGATTTTGATTTTACATTGCTGAGGATGATGCAAATGCATTTCAAACTCATTGATAACCTCTGTCCTTTGAAGCTATCTATTTGTTAAAGTTGCGTTTTGTATTGTATATGATTTGAATATTTTCAAACAATTTCTACCTAGGTTTATTATTCCTGAGATGACATAGTCTAATCATATTAGAAAACCTTCTAATGTTAATTTCACCTTCTCATTACTTAATATAATTTTAACTCAGCTGTATGTTTTGTGAAACATCTGCCTTAAAACCAGAAGATGATTTTCTGTATGCCAGCAATAATACGTGAACAAATGTTTTCCTCGTCTTTAAGAGCTATCTGGAAATGGATGGAACAGCCTGTTTGAGAATGATAAAGCTTAGTTAAGATCTAAAGTCTCCTTTAGGTTTTCATGTCTCTCCTATGCCAGAGTTAACTAACATGGAGGAGGAAAAGGAGCTGAAATTTCCACTATTCTTGCATTAAGAATTTCCTCTCTTCCATAGGAAAAAGCAAATAAGCCTACACTTTGATAAGCATAGTGACATTTTTAGATTATCAGAAATCTAGGTCAGAGTTCTTTTGTAATCTTCAAAGTACTGCCTTTCATTAAAAACAAAATGGAAACTGGAATTTCTCAAAGTAACCTCTGGATCATTTTCATTAAATTGATAAACTCTCAGATATATTATATATGAAAAATTTTCTAAAATGGCATTGCTTATATGAAAGATGTTATAGGAGGCCGGGCGCAGTGGCTCACGCCTGTAATCCTAGCTCTCTGGGAGGCCGAGGTGGGCGGATTGTTCGAGCTTAGGAGTTCGAGACCAGCCTGAGCAAGAGCGAGACCCCGTCTCTACTAAAAATAGAAAGAAATTCATCGGACAACTAAAAATATATAGAAAAAATTAGCCGGGCATGGTGGCGCATGCCTGTAGTCCCAACTACTCGGGAGGCTGAGGCAGAAGGATCACTTGAGCCCAGGAGTTTGAGGTTGCTGTGAGCTAGGCTGACGCCACGGCACTCACTCTAGCCCGGGCAAAAGAGCGAGACTCTGTCTCAAAAAAAAAAAAAAAAAAAAAGAAAAAGAAAAATGTTATAGGAACCAATTTCAGATGGTTTATGTCCTTGATAAAAAGGACAGTGTTAGATAATATGGCACATGTAGATTATTCTTAAACATAAGACAGAGGTTTCTGTGGAAAGAGTAAAATAGTACATGTTTTCTATTTGTGTTATCTGTGCAGAAATCAGGCAAACACAAAGAGCTTCACTGTATGTAAAATAATGTTAATTGAGAAGAATTGTAAGGAAGCAGAAAAACTTCTAAGTGGCCTTGATTTTAAGTGTTTAATACTTGTGTTTGCTCTCTCAGGCCAGATGGCCAAGTCAATGGATTCACCAGTGCGCTCCACAACCAGTCCACGAGAACCACTGCCTATTCTTATGAAGCCAGGAACAACCCCAGGTACGGTAGTCAATTGCAAAACAAATGGCAGGACTGTTCTCCCTGTTTTTAAAAATTATCCCCCAACCAACCTGACCCTTCCTTTGAAATGTGGAAATTTCTAATTTTATCTGGGGCTGTAAATAAACAGCCTTATACAAAAGTGTTGAGTTAGCAACTCGGTCATTATTGTGACTACAAAGGAAGATGCAAAACGTGACTTTTTTCCTTAAAAAGTCTACAATTTAAAAAAGCATGATTGTGACATTGGTGTGACATTCTTTAGGTAGATCTAAAGGTTTCATTAAATCAGATGTTGTCATGATAGCTAATTAAGGCTCACTTTTTGTTTGATGTTCAAAGGGAAAGTTATGGTTTGAAAATATGAATGAGACATCAGAGAAACAGACATTATAACCTGTCACACAATTTTTTTTTTTTTTTTTTGAGACAGAGTCTTGCTCTGTTGCCTGGGCTAGAATGCCATGGTGTCAGCCCAGCTCACAGCAACCTCAAACTCCTGGGCTCAAGCAATCCTTCTGCCTCAGCCTCCTGAGTAGCTGGGACTACAGGCATGTGCCACCATGCCTGGCTAATTTTTTCTATATATGTTTAGTTGTCCAGCTAATTTCTTTCTATTTTTAGTAGAGACAGGGTCTCACTCTTGCTCAGGCTGATCTTGAACTCCTGACCTTGAGCAATCCGCCCGAGTCGGCCTCTCAGAATGCTAGGATTACAGGCGTGAGCCACCACGCCTGGCCCTATCACACAAATATTTAAACTAAAATGCATGCTGCACAACAGATTTACTGAGTGACTAATTTTCATAATAATACTTGGGAAGTAGGCCAATAAAATGGGAGTTAAGAACAAAATGGGAGACAAAAATTATAGAAGTGGATTAATACCACTTTAGCATTTATATTTCAGCAATTATAGTTTAGAAGGAATATACAAGCATTAGTTTTTGCATTGAATCTGAAAATGCCTTGTCATGTTTATTATCCTTGTAAATAAACTTTAAACATGAAATAAAATGGTTTGTATTGCAGCTCCAATGCTGGAATCAAGCATGCAGGACCAAAGGATACTGTTGTGTACACAAGGACATATGTGGAGAATAGGTATTACAAATTTATTTCAAATATTTTGCTTTCTTTAATAATTTCAAAATAATCTGTGTTTAACAAGACATGTTATTTATGTACTTTAGGGTCTGCTTCTTGCAAATAGAAGACCACTTAAGAGTATATTGAGTTATAGGTGTATTATTTTTTATAATGTTTTGGATATTTTCCAATTATACTCATTGGATGGACGCAATAACATTGTAACATCCCACGTGTACATAATAAGATTTGCGTTTGAAAGTTCTCACATAAACATATATAACTTGTTCGAGTGGAAATTCACTAGGTGCTCACTGGGTGAGTGGAGAAAGATTTCTCACACAAAGTTTAGGATATAAATATGTAAAAAGTTTATTTTGCTTTCTTAGAAAGAAAGAGGGAGGGAGAGTGAGAGAGAGAGAAGAGAAAGAGAGGGAGAAAGAGAAAGATATGAGAGATGGCATGGCACCTCAAAGAAAGAGAAGGGAGGTGTCCACTCGGAGGACAAGAGGCTTGCTGTTTTTATGTGGAAAAAGAGAAAGGAGAAAAAAAATTGTGATTACTGTCCGTTGATAACAGAAGCAGCTGTGAGATGTCAAAGAGTTGGCTTCTCCCCTTTTCTCTTCCCTTGGAGACAGGCTTATCACTGGGGATGTGATCTTGTCAATGATCTTGCCCTTGAGATGTGGTTTTGGGCTGTAACTGAGGCCTGAAGCTCACACCCCCACAGTCCACTCAGGAATTCTTCAAGGCTGTAAAGCAAACCCTCAAAAGCAGTTTAATCTATAGGTCTGGTGAATGTAAAAGAAAAGGATTTACATTTTCTTTCTGTCTACTCAGCTTGTTTCAGATGTTGGGTGCCTGTTAGCAAGAGAGCTCATATGATTGGTCTTAGCCGTGATTGAGAGACTGTGGGTTAGGCAATTTTTCTGTTATTTTGTTAACACGGCCATCCTTTCATAGCTGGTTATAATAAGCTTTGTAAAATTACACAACTATTCCTGTACTGATTTTGAGTCCCACTTTAATTAACTGGTTCTTTCTACTGTTGTTTACCTTCCATCTGAAATGAGGGGTGCAACTTTGAGTAGATGCAACCTGGCCCAAATAATAGGGAATTTGAGTCACACAAAATATGCTGCTTCGAGTGATGGATGTTGAGGAAAATGTCAACCAGGTCTGGGATTCAAAATACATTTGGTTTTCAAGGAGTATAAAAACAAGTATTGGCCTAATTGGGGGGATTTTTAACAGGGGGGCACACAAATGTGGATATACGTGAATGATTGTTAATCAGAGCCCATTTCAAAGAGGCCTCAGAGCAGCGTATCCAGGGAGGCTTTTGTGTGCAAGGCGACCCCGAGGCAACTCTGTGTGACATTCAATACATGTCAGGAGGTGAGCAATCTTCCAAAAAAAGTTTTCTCAAACCCATGCATAATTGACCTTGTAAAATGCAGCCTCAAGATTGATTTTTCTCCTTAATCTAATTTTCACTCTATGGTGTGTTCACATCAGTGATTGCTGCTGTCTTTTAATTAAACTAAAAGTTAAACCATTTCAAAACAAATTTCAAAATAGCAAATAGTTACTAATTCTGAAAGAAATCGATAAGTAGATAAATAGTATCAAAATAATATTATAGTGAAGGCAAGACACCAAATATTGGCAAATAGAATAAAAAATAGACATTTATTCTATATTTACATAATAATCTCTCTCACACATTGTTACCTCTATAAGATATCACATCAGTACACTTTGCTTTTTAAAGGAACGTCTCATGGGAACTACAATGCCCAGCTACAATACTGACTTTTAAATAAATGATGATTTTTTTAGTATTAGGAATATTTTATAAAACATAATACTCTAGATTTTTTGATTTATTGAATAGTTGAATAAAATAATGTTAACTTGTTTCATGGAAATGCCAAGACTAAGGCATACTTGAATTATTTAACTATAATGACTAATTTAATTATTTAACCATAATGACTATAATGACTATTTTTAAAAACCATGTTCAATGTGTATATGCATATCATGTACACATATAGAACAGTAAGTCTATACAAAAGTTTGGTCTCTGGGCCAGCAGCAGCAGCACCTGGGATCTTGTTGGAAACGAAAATTCTTTGGCCCCGCCCCAGACCTGCTGAATTAGAAACTCAACAGGTGAAGCCCAGTAATTTGTGTTTTAGCAAACTCTTCACATGTTCCTGGTGCACTTTCAAGTTTCACAACCATCACTGTAAAAGGTAATATTAATATTTTGGCATATTGGGCCAATAGTTTGTAGGCCAGAAAACTCTGGAAGGGTTGGTTGCCTTCCATACCTTAACTTAACAAGGATGGTGATGCACCTCAAACATCCCTAACTTTCCTAAAATCCATACTGACAGGCAATGCTGTATAGTAAATAGTACCTAGAATCAGATTGGGGGTTGCATCCTTGTTTGTCGTTTCCTAACCATGTAGCCTTGGTGAAGTTACTCTTCAAGTCTCAGTTTCCTCATTAATAAAATGAGAGTAATGCTATATGCATCGTGCATCAATCTGTGCAAACCCTTATTTAGCATTGTGGGGTTATGTGTTCCGTGATGCAGATTTTAGTTCTGACAGCAGTCTGCCTACAGACAATTTGAAGGGAGAGAGAAATTTCTCATTAAAAAATCCAAGTGAGGGCCATGGAGTTATCACTCCCTGCACGAAATAAAAGAAACACATTGCTTCCATTCCTGTAGACCCCCAGGTAGCACAAGTACTTGGGAAGCGATTATGAGCAGCCAGCTGGTTAGCCCATTACAGATTTCATTTTTCTCCAACAAAGAGTGACTTTTAAAAACTGACACAATCTACAGAATGGAAAAGAGAGGACTTTTTAAAAATTACATTTCTTTTGCTTTCATTGTAAATTATTCTTTCTTGGATGTTTTCAAGTAAAGATAAAAATTTCTAGAGCTTTCTCTAGAAGTTCAAGAGTGTCTGTTTCTGCCTGTGAATGGCTCTGTGTAGGTACTTGCCTTGCTTGTGCTCGGTGGATTTCCCTTACCTATGCTACCCTAACGTGGCTTTCTTTTAGTAAATAACTGAAGTGCAAGTATAAATTTTATAAAAAGTGACTCCTTTTCCTGCTCACACTTGTTCCTGTACTCCTTACCCTACTCTCTGTTGACTTTGGTAGATATGTCAACTTGGAGGTGTCTTGTGTATCACTACGACTACAGATTAAAGAATAAAAGGCGTTAGTACATCATCCTGGCTTATAACATACGCAAAGAATAATAACATTAAGGCTGCATGAGGCAGTGTGAGTGTGTTTCCTAACCTGCATTTGGGAAAATAGCCTGATTCTCATGTCTCCATATTTGTTTGCTTCTAGTAAATCACCAAAGGATAGCTATCAGGAGAATATCTCTGGAAAATACATACAAACTGTTTATTCGACTTCAGATAGGTGAGTATGTCTTTATTTCCATACATAAATATATATGTGTACACATATACACTTTTTTGCTGTCGTTTGTTCTTTGTACTTTGACGATGGCTCTCCTGGTACCACTTGTTCTGTATGTGCGTGGACGGAACAAAGTACAGCTCACTAACAACAACCTCTGCATGTAGGAATTTTTTCTTGGCTTCCTGGCTGTTTCTGCTCTCTGATTTTGGTGCACATTATACCAAAAGGCCTTTCCGTGCCTTACAGCTGCCTCCCAAGCAAGCCTCTCTGCTGCTGGGGGTTCCCAGGAGTCCCTAGTACTGCCACATTATTAGCGTTTAGGCTTCATCGCATCACCAGTCTGTGCCCTCAGCCCTCCCTCCTTGTGGTTGTCTGAAGCCTGCTCACCTTACAAACAGCTGCTACCCCCCAGTCTGGGGCCGAGCTCCCTTCCCAGGAGTGAAGTTATGATGAGTATTGATTGCGAGCTGGCGAACTGGCCCTGTTCCAGGCTTTTGCTGTCAGTGATCCCCTTTTACCATTGAATATTCTGTGGGGCACCTTGGCAACACTCGTGAGAGTGAAGGTTGCGGATTTCTAGTGGAGCAAATGAAAATAAATAATTATCATTGCAACCTGACAACTGGAAACAAGCCATAATGCAAATGTCAGGTCCTCTATAGCAGGGGCTGGAAATATGACTCATTGAGGGTAAAGACATATCTTATTAAAGACATATCTTATAAAGACTGTAGACTCAGTGTCTAACATAGTGCTTGGCACCTAACATGTATTCAATAAATATTTTTTGAAAAACTGAACCTGTGTCTCATTTACTGAGGGAAACATGGGTGCACTAGGCATCAAAAGTATATCCTCTTCCCGTCACTTTTCCAAAATTTTGCCCATTAGCAATTCTCTGCAGAGTGCCTTGCCTTTAAGTCATACCTCTTTGAGGAGTAGAGTCATCTACACAAGCATTAGAACTACAAATACTGACTGGATAACAACAATAACAAACAGAGCTAGGTTTTTCATAATGCTTTGAAAAGATCTTTGACTAGCCATATGATATCAATAAGGACAACACCAACATAGAGCATTTCCTGGGCTTGTATTTTTATTGTTAACCGAAGGAAGGAAAATATTCTTCACAGAAGTATTGCTGTTGATATGAAGAATTTCAATCCTGTTCCTAAAGTGGTCCTTGAAATTTTTCTTAGTCATCAGTGCAAAAGTCAATTCTCTATAAGACCAATCAAGCAACTTTTGCTGTTGAGTAGTGTGAGAAGTAGGTGACATCCCCACAGTTCTTATCTAAGTACACCAATCCCATTTAAAGTGGTTTCCTACTTTACAGGGTAAAATCCAACTTCCTTTGCACATTCTCTATGGCCCTTCAGAACCTGCTCTTCCCTTTCATTTTCCCTCCTCTCTGCTTCTACTCCTCAACTTGATGATAGATTAGTGGCTCTTGGGTGTGACTAAGTCACTTCAACAGAGTGAGCTCGATAGACCTCATGGGCAGCACGAGGGCACTGGGACCACGCTGTGTCCTCTCAAATCCTGGCTCTTCTCCTCACCAGTTTCATGACGCTGTCCAGTTACTTATCTTGTGTGCCTCAGTTTTGTTCTCTATAAAATGATGATAAAAATAATAATACCAGCTTCTTGGGGATGTTGTGAAGAATAAATGAGTTTATGTAAGTAAAGTAAGTGCATGGGAAAATGCACTGCACATGTTAAGCGCTAAGTAAGTATTTGCTATTTTTATTTCCCCACCCCATTATGTATCCCACTCTGGAAATTTCAGCCCTGCATGCTAATGCCCCAAAACTAGTCAATTTTGCAAGATGTTATGTAAAACATTCCTAAGATCCTCCAAATGAAAATGATCCTTTCTTAAGGCTCTGGTGTGACCTAAGGTATTTTGGACTCTGCTGATCACAGCCAGAGATTATTTACTGTTGAGCATTATTGTTTTAAAGTAAATAATGAAACTCTTTTTTCCTCATCAAATTTGTGGTGGGGTTATATCTTGCTGGAGAGAATAAATTTTGTCATGATAGGTATCTCTGTATCCTGAGTCACCGTGACACTAAGGGGAGTGTTTGGGTGATGCTAGACCCTATAGTTGCAGGCACTACAGGTCTATCATTTGTGAGTTTATCAACACATTCTTGAATGGATTTCTATTTTTGACCTATTGAATGTTTTGAGAGTTAAAAATTTGTATTAATCCACAGCATAATTTTCCATGTAATCTGTAAAATGATATATGTAAATTAATAATTAAAAATCCTCTTCTAGCTTCAAAGGGTACTTATGACCTAGTTTAACTAGGAAACTGAACATCTTTGTCCTGTCCAGATGCACTCTTGATTCCTGATGAATTAATAATTTAATAACTTTCCCTCATGTTAATTCTTTGTCATCATTTTGAGGTAACTAGAAAAGTCGGTTCTATTACTAGAAGAAGTAAATCCCAAACTTTCCTCGATTTTTGTGCAATTTCCCAATGTCTCATCAAAATTAACATATTTTCCCAGGACTTTATAGGGAATACATTGGTCTTTTGTATGATGGCAAATTTATTTTTAATTGCTTATGTCGCTATAGGTCTGTCATTGAAAGAGATATGTGCACTTATTGCCGAAAACCCTTGGGTGTAGAAACTAAAATGATTTTAGATGAATTACAAATTTGCTGCCATTCTACTTGCTTTAAGGTAAGGATGTGTTTATTTCACTTAACTAAATATAAAATCACATAATGACTGCAATAAAAATAATTATTTAATGAAATACGTGAGATGAAGTTAAAGCTTTCAGAAACACTATCATCCACATTAATAATTCACTACTTAAATATTTCCCAGAGTTCTACAGCCTAAACCTCAAAGGTTTGTAATTACTATCTTGGCTTTAGGCTTAGAGTTGATTACTGACACATTTATTCATTCTTACCCTAGAGATTTAAATTTGTGAAAAAAGAAACACTTGTTCTTTTTATACAAGTTTTTTGAAACATTTTAATAAATCATGTGTTACATAAAATATGTAATGAAATTTTAAAAAAGAAAATAAATTGTTGAGAATAAAGCTGGCAGTTCTTACATCATGAAATTAGGACAGATGGGTTTAACAGTAGTTGAAACACAGCCTGCTTTTGGGAGCATGATTAATTGTAATTAATCGTGGCTTAATAAATAATAATAAAGTTTCCATTAGTAGACTGCTTCTCAGTTTGTTCTTTCATAGGCTATTTCTTTTCATTCTCAGAATAACATTGGGTGGGTCAACATCATAGTGTTTGGAGTAACTGCATAAGTACTGAACTGGAAATCTGAAGACCTGAGTTCTAGTTTTGCCTCTGCCAGAAACTGTCTGTGTGACTTTGGACAATCATCTAAATTACACTGGGCTCAGTTTTATTATCTGTAAAATGAGGTAGTTGACTAGACCAGTGGTTCTCAACCCTGGCTGCACATAATAATCTTCTGGGGAGATTAGGAAAAAAATGAAATCTTTGGGACTCACCCCAATTAAATCATGAATCTCAGAGATGATTACTGGACACTGGTATTTTTAAAAAGCCTAGGTTATTAAGCATGAAATGTCCAATTTCCTTAAGTATTAAGTTTTATAGTTGATATCTCTGACATTTCACTTTGATACTTCTTGTTTTATTTTTATTGTGAAGGGACATCCTCAATCTTTCAAACACATATTTTGGATTGTGATTATCTTTCAATTTTTTAAGCAATTTTTGTGAAACCATGGATAAGTCAAAAATTTGTGTTACTTTTGAATATGAGTTCCATCATGGAACCAATGCAGTGCAGACAGCTCAAAATATCAATGAAATGTTTGGGGAGGATGTGGCTAATGAATGCACAGTACATCCATGGTTTGAGAAGTTCTGTTCTGGTGATTTTAATTTTGAAAATGAGCCACATGGGTGACCTGAGACCAAAGTAGAAAATGATGAGCTGAAAACTACAGTGGAAGCAAATGCATTTCAACCTACACGTGAATTAACAGCAAGGTTTGACATTAATATTCCAACAATATTGGACCATTCAAAACAAATGGGCAAGGTAAAGATACTGGATAGATGGTTACCAAATGAATTAAACAAGCATCAGAAAAGAAATTGTCTCAAAGCTTGTCTTTCTTTGCTGTCAAAACATAAGGGTGAAGCATTTCTATACCGTATTGTTAGGTGTGATGAAAAATGGATCTTTTTGACAATCGCAAGCATTTGGCACAATGGTTGGATAAAGATGAAGTGCCAAAACACAGTTCAAAACCAAATATTCATCAAAAAAGGCTAATGGTGTCCTTTTGGTGGTCCAGTGCTGGTATTATCCACTACAGCTTCACGAAACCTGGTCAATTGATTATAGTGGATGTCTACTGCAACCAACTGGATGACATGATGAGGATGCGGCCGAGATTGGTCAATAGAGACAGGCCAATCCTCTTACAAGACACACTCAACCACATGTCACACAAACGACGCTGCTCAAACTACAGAAGTTAGACTTGGAGACTCTCTGTTATCCACCGTATTCACCAGAACTTGCACCAACTGATTACCACTTCCTCCAGGCATTGGACCACTTCTTGCAAGGAAAAATATTCAGTTCTCAACAAGCTGTGGAAAAACTCCTTTCGTGATTTTGTTGGCACTCACTCTCCAGGCTTCTTCACTGCTGGCATAAACAAGCTACCGTTAAGATGGCAAAACTGTGTCGATAGTTTAGGCACACACTTTGATTAACTATACTGCTTCTTGCTTGATTTGAAATCAGACATTTCATATTTAATGACCTAATAGCTCTAATATGCAGCCAGTTTGAGAATCATTTGCCCAAATCTATGAGTCCTTTCTGGTGCTGACATTCTATGGTTGATGCCAATTATCTAATTCAGTCAAATAGATGTAATACTTTGTAAACTGATTGCTTCTCTTCCAATTGCCTTCAAACAGGGACACTATCTGAGTGTTGCTCTGGAGGATAGTCCTGAATGAATTGAAAAGGCTATCCTTGTTTCTCTAAAAATCTAGATTTCATCTATAATGTAAACTTTATACATGTATTTTTTTCATTAGTGTGAAATATGTAAGCAGCCTTTGGAAAATCTACAAGCAGGTGACAGTATTTGGATTTATAGGCATACAATACACTGTGAACCTTGCTACTCTAAAGTTATGGGTAAGTGTTGTGCTCTATAAGGAACTTTCACTTTTGTTACCATTAATGAGCATTTGGTAATGTTGAAAATTATGTATTTAAGTAAAGTAAAAATATTTTACTAATTGTATTTTAAGAATTTAAGAATTTAGCTGCAGATATTTATATTATGGTAGTATTTTGTTTAATGGTATAAAGTCAGTCAATTTTTACATTGTATTCTGGTATTAGACCAGACATAGATACAATTAAGCAAAGAAACCACTTATTTAAAAATTTTTTTAATTTTTTCCAAACAATAATAGATCTTCTCTACGCAAATAATTGTTCAAATTGAAGTCCATATTGGTAAATGACCTTTTATACTTGCACTTGAATACCATATAATTTTTTACCTAATTTGGTTATCACACTAAATGTCTTTTAATGTTACCCTTAAATGGAAAATTTTGAGTTAATTCTATATAATTTGATATTAAATATAGCATCTAAGTTTTTTTGTCACTTTAAGACCAATGTTACTATAACTTGGACTCTTAATTAGCATAAATAATGTGAGAAAAAAACATTGAGAACCTGTATTTTTAACTAACATTTTCTATAAACTAAGCATGAAAGGTTTAAAGGCTGATTTAAAAGAGTTGCACAGTACACTGTAAATTAGCACAATAAAGTCCTACAAAATTTGATTGATATTTAAAAGCGAGCATCCACATTTTATTCATAGATTCAGTAGTAAGTAAATAGAATAAAGAAAATGATATTGAAAAGACAGTCAAAAGTACTGTGTGAAAGGTGTTTTTTTCCTGATGTCTTGTTAGTGTAGTGAATGAAAGAGGAACATTTGGGACTCCTACGTGGGATACACAGTATGGAATTTAATGACAAATAATGTGATATTCATGAGCTACTGGGAGACTACATCTGGAAAATGCTCTGAAAAATATTCAGAAACCTACATTCCATCAGGCTGCAGAATCAATTACAAGAATAAACCTAATTATATTCATACTTTCCCTTCTATTTTCTGCTTTCTCCAGAGAGTTCTCATATTCACTTTTCTTTCTAATTTAGCAGTCTTTTCGTGATCCAATATTATATCATGGGTTTTGATGTGCATGGTGGTAGCTCTAAAACTTTTAGTCTCCTAGAAGTCCATGATATGGCTTAGGGGATGTTGTTAACAAAAGACTCAGAAGTCTTTGTGTCTTCCTCCTTGCCAATGTATGCGCCATAGGCTTGCATTTTTTATAGTGTATATACATTGTCAAGATATGACTCTTTGCCACCTCATAAATATGCATACGAGGCATCTGGTACTTTGTATATACCGTATGACCAACAGCCAGAGTGATGAATTCTGGAGTAGAATAAGTGCAATCCTTAATCCACTACTACCCCCTGGGCGAATAATTGTTTTGTAAATTTTAGTGATTGGCTTGTTTTTATATTGAATTTGCATATCTAACTGTTATTTTCTTTAAATTTTTCAGCAAAGTGGATTCAATAACTCTGGCACATGGAAATCAAGATGAAAAGCGTTCATTGAAAAATTAAAAGTTAAAACTTTTATTTTAAGAATATGTAATCTAGAAAAGCTTTTACATTGAAGATCGACTTGTATAAAATTAATTCCACCATTGCATACATAATCTTATTGCCTTCTATAAGGTGGTACACATAAAAAGAACCATCTGGTATCTGGCTAGATTTAGAGATAAAAAGTTCAAATGGTTCCAGTTACTGGTGTCAAAGGAATGATGCTCCTGATCGGCAGTGAGCATTGTCGCCCAAGCGAGGTCCATCCCTGCACCGTATGTTGGCTGTGCATCATGGTTGCCATTATAACCAAGTTTCTTGTTTTCTCACCTTTGTTTCCCTGAGAATCTAGATTCACAGACATTTTTGACATCGTGACAAGCTGTTAAGGAAGCAAGATATACTTCCTTTATCTGCGAAAGAAATGCTAATAGAAACTTTCTTATAAAGTTTGGCAAAAAGATGTTAACATAAAAAGTTGTATGGACCTCAAAAAATCATTTAAACTTTCCAGATCTCTGTGCCATTATTTGTAATGTGAAGGACATTAAATGAAATGATTTCTAAGGTCCCTTTTTGCTCCTCAAATTCTCTGATTCTAAAGCAAGTTTTAGGTTGCTTCTTAGAAACGTATCTGTATATGTGTTTGTTAAGCATAATGAACTAGATAGAACATATAAACAATTTAACCTTAGTGTCATCCTTCCGTTTAATCATGGTTTAGAAACTATGTTTTAAAAACAGAAACGGATTTATGGGTAATAGGTAAAATCATATGACATGTAGAGTTTTCATGTTATAACTGGTTAAATTTTCTTTGCATGCATTTCAAAATCTGGGTATACAAGTAATCTATGAGAAGTGATGGTTATTGACTACAAAGACATGTTCTTTAGCATGTTGCATATATTCATATTATGTAGCACTTTATATTTACATAAGGTTTATAAAAATAAAATAAACTATCAGTTACATAGAATCTTTTCGTGGAGTGTCTATAAATAGTCACTAACGTCGATTTTGTCCATTACAGTGATCACAATTGATTATATTCTCTGCTATGCTGGTTAACTTATTTTTTTAGTTGCTTAGGCTATAGCTTTTGTTTTAAAGAGCTTTTTCTGAAGGAATTGGAAATTCAGTAACCATGTGAGGAATTAGTATTATTAACATTGAGAAATTGAACTTATAAATTATTTTATATGCACATTTTATAAGCAATTTTTTATAGAAAGGGGTTTATGGAACATTGAGGTGGGGGTGGAATTCGAGAGAAGTTTTAAGGCAGTTGTGAAAAACTGGTATAAACTAGAGATATTAAAATATGATCATGGATTTTCTGAATGTGGATAAATTCAAAGAATTATTTTCCTTCATAATAATTTCATGCATCTGTTCCTCTTAGAGATTGGTTCACAAAGTGTTAAACACAAAATGCTTATCAAAATACAGCAATGTATAATTGTTGTCCTTTGGAGAGAGAGCCAGGAAAAACAATTAATAATAATTTGATATTCATTAATTCATGCTTGATGAGAAGCAGTGGTAATTGAGCCATATGTTTTATTGTTCTTTTATTACATGCTATCAGAGTGGATCAAAAGAAATAATTTTCTTAGAGTTGAAATTCACTGCAGAAAAGGGTGGATGAAATGGTATCCCTCCCTTTTATGAAGTATATTAACATCTCAATGCTTTTGTAGTAATTAAAATCATCTGAATATTATTTTAAGAGTATAAAAACCTAAAAGGAACACATTTCTCACTTTTCTATAGCTGTTTAACGGGCCCTCTCTTCCACAATAATGTATTAAATCAAACCAAAAGCTGTTGTAAAGACAGCATGGATATGGAGTGGAGAGAGAAGGGCTTCTGATTCATCAAGATCACTTCATTATATCTGCGTTTATTCTCACTAGAGGAATGACAGATTCTGAAAACAATTTAGAAGATATCATTTTTTTGCAGCCTATTAATTATGTTGTGATTGGCATACTTTTCCTGGACACAATTACCTAAATCTAGGAATACTAGGTCCTGATTCTATTGCTAATAAAAAGATGTCTCTAAAAGAGAATTAATTGCTCCATCATGACAATATCCTTCTAAAAAAGCAAAAGAAAAGACACATTCCCAGAAACTGAATTTATTAAAATTGTATTCCCTCTTTTAATAAGGCCAAGAAATAAGAATTTATTCAAGAAGCAATCTGTACATCCTTAATTGTTTGATTGCAATCACTCAACTAATTAGATACGAGTGATGAGATGGTCCCACTATCACTCTTGCTGTAGTCTCTGACTTTATATGATAGAAAAATCTACCACAATAGAAAATTGTGAGTGTTTGGAACATTTTCCTACTCAGCTTATTCAGAAATCTAGCAAAACAAGTGTCTGTTTAGTCTGTATCATGGCAAACTAACAAGGATATTGACTTTTTTGTACTACTGAACTTACTGGTTACTTTGGTACAAAGTAAATAAATTTCTTTTAGATTCCACCCATTCCATAGTACTCAACAATTCCCAGAGGCACCCATAAATATCTGTATAACTTGGGCTCATTCTCGCCTGCTTAAAGTGTTGGGCTTAGAATACTGGCTCTCTGCTGTTCCCACCAGTTCAAACATTGCTTGCATCTATCAATCTATTCCTGTTACTTACCTTATTCTTAGATGAAATCTTTTTTTTTTTTATTCCAGGGTTTTGTGAGGGTACAAACATTATAGTTACACTTTATGTCTTTGCCTCACCCAAATGCGGGTTAAAGGCATGCCCTTCCCTCCCTTTAGTGCTCCCCGTGTCCTTTAGTTGTAGATTTGCCCCCC